TACTATTATTATTATTATTACACCAGTTTTCCTCCCTTGCCATTTTCTAGCTCTGTCAGTAATGTCCTACATTTACCAGAATGCCTTTAGACAATCGCTAGGGAGCCAAAAATATAATGTGAGTTTCTCTAGAAAGAAGCTTGTTCTGGATTCTGAAGGACTGACATCAGACCTGCCTTTGACAAGTGATGTTAAATTAGGTCATTTCATGACTGGGGTAAAAATCAGAGAAATGGTTGCTCTTGAGTTGCTAGATTAAAAACAAATTTCTTAGAAATAAAAGGTATAAAACAAAACAAGCTATATGTTAAAGACAAACATGAGTCAATATGTTGTAGAAGCTTCGTAAGCTCTGTAAAGTTTTATCCTTGATTTGGCTTTGGCACAGATTAAGGAAATATTAATACAGTATAAAAATATAAATACAAAATTCCAGCTCACACTTCTCCATAAGGAATAGACTATAACTCTGTTGCTTCACGACAGAGCACCTTGGATAGAGGTCTTCTCAGAAGTGTAAACCACAGGAATGTCTCCTGTCTGCACAAAGAATCATATCAGCAGTTACTATTTCATAGTCTTATCAATGTCTCATAAATCCCACTAAACGTTTAAGACAAGCAAAAGCACAGAAAACATAAAGACAGTTATGTCTTACCTGCTGTTCCAGCTACTCAGGTGGTGTGATGTCAGCTGGTTACAGCGGGATGATCGTGAGAGACCGTACAGTGTTTCTTTTTCTATACCACTGTCTTTCCCTCTCCTCTGTATTATTCCTCTCTTTACCCTTTATACCCCTCTCCCCTTGTGATGCACACATCTTAGTGCCAGTGGGGTGTACATTGCACATTGAGTGCGTGTGTGGGCAGCAGCCAATCAGAAAACAGCAGCTTTAGCAACAGTAGCAGTACACACATGTTCAACCTCACACTCTCACACTGACATACTTATTATAGCATAGATACAGGCATGCACAGTGCTTTTTCCTCTCTCTCACCCACACACAAGTGAAACAACTGTCATCTGTGACTGTCTTATCCAACCTTTCAGAGGATTAGTCTGTTTTTTGAATTTTTGATGTTGAAGCTCATCTTGACAGGCTCCTACACACACTCGTCTGTCTGTGAACATCTGCAGAATGTATGGTTCTTGCATTGTTGTGATTTTGTGTGTGATGTCTTTGCAGCACAACACTCAAAGTGTTTCAAACAAGGCAAAGCTGCTATTCGTGATGTCACACCGATTTACATGCAGTACCATGTGGGGGCAAAATTGTTATGTAACATACTGATGTACACATGCAATGTCACACCAATGTCACATTTTTGTCTGGAACATTTATAGATAACAGAATTATTTTGGGCATTAGCCTTAAGACATTACAGACATGCACAGTAACAGAAAAAGGAACCATTCAAACCAAATAATCTTGCAGGTAGAGTTGTATGTTGAAAAGTCAGCAAAGGATTTAGGAAAATGTTATGGTTTGTGGACTCGTGCTTCCTGTTTTTTCTGTTGTTTTTCCCTGGATTCCCTGTCTTTCACTGCCTGTCATGTTCCCACCAGCATAATCATCCATCATTGCATCCACCTGCCTCGCGTTATCTCCTGGTCCAGTTCCCTACATATACGCCCCTATTCTATTTGCTACCTGCTGATTTGTTTGTTGACACTTACCTGCCCCTCATGCAGGAGGTATGCTAAACAGATGGAGAAGCATGTCATGTCAGAGTTTTGAACAATGTACAAGTGTGGTCTTTTCTTGGATAAAATTTCATATTCCAATAAGTTTTCGCCTTACGCCACTGCTAAGATTTCTCACAATCTGCATGTTAGAATACGCTCGACACAAAGGTGAGCGAGCGGAGAAATTAACAGACCCAGGCGGCTGGCTTCGGTGCAAGTAGTGATATTTATTTACAGTAAAGTAGTGCAATAATATATACAAACGTGAAGGAGTGAATACAACCGGGTGTCGACCAGCAGTAGCAGTAGTTATAGTCCGTGGTGTGATGATGGGTCGGGCTGCAGGGGTAGGAATCACTCCTGAGCTGGTCGTGAGTAGATCCGGTAGAACTGAGGAGGTAATGGGAGAGTTCAGTTAAAGAGGAGACTGTGCATCGACCTGGGATGGTGGAGCTGAGGGTGCCAGGATCCAGAGGAGAGGTCCAAAAATACTGAGAGACGCTAAGAATATACAACATACGAGAAACAACGAGAAATAAGCAACGTACTAATCTAAGGAAGGCTGATGACAGAGAAAGAACTAGCAAGGGAGTGAAGGGTGAGCTGAGTTTAAATAAGGAGTGAGACAAAGAGGTGCAGCTGATGGGTGTCAGGAAATCAGGGCAGGTGTGTCTAATCAAGAGAATCAGTGTGAGGGAGCAGACTAGGGCGAGAAAGAGAGAAGAGAGGAAGGTGCAGCCGGGCAAACCTGACAGTAATATGGTTATGATTTGTTGATTTTTGGGGGGAGGGGCATTTCACATTTATTAGGGCATATATAGGTGAAAGTGGGTCGCTGAGAGGCAGACAGGAAATGAGAGAGAGATACAGTAGAAGGGGAGACCATGCAACAAAGGTCGACAGCTGGACTTGAACCGCAGACATCACACACTCACTGTGCCTGGTGCATTTGTGTTTTAGAGCCTTCTAAAGCAGTAGACATGAATTATTGTTAAATGCCTAAATGCGCACTGTAAATTTGTGCCTGCAGGAACAGACTTGAATTACAGTTTATCTCTGTATCAGACCAACAGTTGGCACATACAGTATTTAAAATATTCTTTTCAAATAAACTGGCACTAGCGGGCACTGCATCAAACAGCAGCTCTCCAACCCTGGAAAGAGACTTTGGGCTTCGTTTTCCTTCAAGAGACTGTCCTTGCTCTGCTGTCGATAAGGTTAGTCGAGTCACGCCTGTGGGTTGACGATGACGCACTCTGACTTTAACACCTCTGTCAATAAAATATTTGCATTTAAATGTTCTAATCAGTCAGTGGCATTTCTCTGCATGAGTGTCCCACCTTGAGAACAAGATGACAGATGTTCTGATGGCAGACATTTCTGTTTTAATTAATTAAGAAATCTGTGTAGCCCACTGTCACATGAAGTTTGTTATATTCACCTACCTCTACATTACTTTTCAAAATGTGCCACCCACTGTATTAAGCCCTAAACAGTGGCGCTGTTTCAAGAAGGGACACTTTAAACAAAGTGTCCGGTACAGTGTTCTCTGCTTTATGAAACAGTCTATAAATATCTTCAAACAGGTGGCTAAAGCCTGTGTGGCCCATCTGCTCCCTAACCCTTGAAAATAGCAGAGGATGCAAGTCTGTGTGTACAGTCATATGCATGTATGAATACACACATAAAATGCAGTGTGTGTTGTGAGTGTGTTAACACATGTGATGCTACAACACAATAAGCCCCTTATGTCTAATCGTGTCCCGCTGGCAGAGAAGCGTCTAACATGTGCTTGCACAAGTAGACATTCATGAACACACACACAGCTAAATACACACATATAGTTGAGTGCAAAAGTTTGTATCCCCTTACTTTGAAATGGAAAAAGAGCAACAAAATTATTATTATTTTTCTCAGCAACATAATATTTAATGCACATTCAGCTAGTACAAATGTTCCTTCATCAACAGAAGTAACAAAAATGGTCAGGGAGTGTATAAAAAGAAAGTTATAGTAAAATAATGAAAATCATATCAGTGGAAAAGTGTGCATTCACCTTTATGAAATGTTCTCTAATACTTTATACGTCCTCCCTAACTTCCTCCAACCTCTTTGGGTGCCCTCTGAGCAGCAATTGAATACTTTCAGGTATAGTTTTAGCCCCTTCTTCATGGCTTACTTGTTCCGAATCTACCAGACTCCCTGGCTGTCTGCTATGTACAGCCCTCTTCAAGTCTTAAAATCATTTCTGTACTTTACTGCTAATCAGTGACGAGAGGCCAGAGTTGTGGGGATAAGGTCTGTCCTTGTTGTTCCAGAGTCTCGCTGGCACATTTTAAACCAGCTGCAGGCAAAAAATTGTAAGACTGATTCAATGATTCCTACTTAGAGTGAGTTGCAATAGTCGAAGCAAGAGGAAATCAAAGCATGTACTGTCTTCAGCAGACAGGAACAATTCTGATAGTGTAGTATTGTGTTCAATGAGCTGTACAGTAAATACCTGAAAAATTGACATGACGTGAAAAAGTTTACTCTGTATTATGTGGAAAACTTTAAAAAACGCGATATCTCAGGAACACCTTGACACAAACGTCCACATGAACTCAAGGATGATGTGGCACAACTCTCTATCTGTCCTCTGTACTCCCCTGTAAAAACAGTCTCCAAGTGAAGACAGCAATAACTAGTGCCCAATATAATGATAACTTCCATTCTGCAAATTAAAAAAAACAAACCTTTTTTAAAATTCCTTTAGAGTCTTCACTGCATGTATTATAGGGGTCGGGACAGATATGCCTGTAAACTGCAACTTGAATGCTTGGTGGAGGCATACTAGGTGGTAACTCTAGCTAATTTTAAATTACATTATTGTTATAAACCCAGGTTGTGCTGTGGTACAAGTACAGACAGAGGAGATTAATAACTTGACACTTAAGAAAATTTCCTTGAATAGGCCTGGCAGTTCCTAAAATGTGACCTGGAGTGCTCTCTGAGCTTTTATTGTTGTGGTCAATGGAGGCTTATTGTCGGTGTCTTGGGGCAGAGAAAGACGTGATGTGAAAAGTAGCTTTCTGGACTAATTTTGAGGTAACATAGGTCAACATATTCAACATGGAGCAGGTTTGAATCCATGCAAATGTTATGAGTTTAGACATGCCTGTAACAACAGACACTGTATTACTGTATCCTGGCAGAGAGAAGCTTTCTGCCTGACATGAACAACTTTCATTATTCACAGTGATACCATGAAGAAACAGACTGTCCTGAAGTGTGCAAATACAGTCAAAAGGCTTTTTTTTAAATCTCTTTTTCAGACTATCTTTGTTCTCCAGAAGAAAATGTCCACATGATCGACTTCACCAGGTTTAAGATCCGTGACATGGAAACAGGGACAGTGCTGTTCGAGATTACTAAACCTCCAACGCCAGGTCAGCTCAAAGCCTTGGAGACTAGAGAGGCCGATGTACAACCTAATGAATACATTAGTAAGACTGGGGTAATGTTTAAGATTTCTTAGCCACTTGTGTTTTATCTTACTGTTCATAGTGTGCTTTAAAGCAGTGTCAAATATTTCAGGTTTTATTGTGTGATATTTTGGATATGCAGAGGATATCAAAAAATAATAGAACGTGATCATTTTTTTCTTGTCAGACACTGAAAAGACCGTGAGCTCCAAAAGAAAAAGCTCAGTTTGTGAACTAACTAAATAATAAATGGGCGTGTTTCACTTTTTCTCTTTTAAACATCTCCTCTTTAGTGGGAGGTAAAAAGCACTGTGAGCCCAACGCTGGCCGTTTTGTCCGATACCAGTTCACCCCAGCCTTTCTGCAGCTGCGGCAGGTTGGAGCCACGTAAGTCAAAGTCCTGAGACCTTGAGTCAACTCACGTTGATGCAATAGTGTCTATTCAACTGCTGCTCACACAGAAGACACAGAGCGGCTGTAGGAGGTGTGTGGGTTTCACTGTGGGGATGACTGACTGATGATGAGGAGTGTGAACATACGGGCAGCCGAGCCCACCTGCTGAGTCAGGCACCGGATAGCTGTCGGTGCTCTGGGTGGTGCACATTTAGCGTCGTGCTGGAGAAAGACTGTTGACTGTTCAATTGGAAAGCCAATTTAAAGGCCAGTTCTCATTATTTTCAAAGCTTTAGCTATCACTCTTAATAAGAACACTGCACTCGGTTACAGTAATTACTGCAATCTGACAGTTTGTTTAAAAAGAAGCCAGACTGCCAGACAGGTTGTAAACAAACTCCCAGAGGTGAACAGGACCAGTAAAAAAAATTTCTAAACTGTCCATCGCAGTTTATAGATGACTTCCTGGGTAAATCATCTATTAGTTTGTGACTGTGACACTCCGTATGTTGCTTCATGATTCAGACAAAAGAACTTTCCCTCTGTAAAACCTGAGAAAACTGAAGTGTTTTTCTTTTTAACCTATTTGTATCTTAAGGTGTTTTATGATCCTGCAAATGTTTTCCTACATCCCAAAATGTTTGCCCAGTGTGAAACCAACACTGAATTTCAGTTTTTCCACAGTCTGTGGCAGCTACTGCCAACGCCTGCACTGTGAAGTTTTTATTTTCCACTCCCGAAGAAGAAAACCAGCATAGACAATCAAAACCTTTGACTGGGTTTGTACTGATCAAGCTTAACTCTGGACAGAAATCAGACTTATATAACTTAATAAAAATACATTTAAAGATGCCTCTGGATAAATGAGAAACAGTCATATTTTGACTCCCCCCCTAAAGTTCACATGACAAATGTTGTGTGTCCGAATCACAGAGTAACATACAAAGTGCTGAGGTCACAAATGGTGCCAACATATGGTGCTTATCATAGATGTGCACGCTTACAATTATTTTGTACAAAGATGAATTATTACTGATATTTTTAGGTATGCTGACTTTCAGTTTTAACTTCAGTTGAAGCGTTTAGATGATCCGGATCAGCTGTTGGTTTGTTTACTACACGTGTGATCAGCTGCTTGTCTCTCTTGCCACAGTGGATTTTCTTGGAATGAGGTTGTTCTCATGTCAGCAGGTACTCAGGTTTGTAAAACTAAGAAAATGTGTTGAAATAACTCAGGTTTACCTGACATTTAAGCCATCTAGAAAGACTGTATTTTTATGTACTCCCACACTGGTCCACATTTGTTTCCCTGCTTCTCTGCAGAGTGGAGTTCACAGTGGGAGACACCCCCATCAACAACTTCCGTATGATTGAGAGACACTACTTCCGTGACCAGCTGCTCAAGAGTTTTGATTTTGAGTTTGGCTTCTGCATGCCCAGCAGCAAGAACACATGCGAGCACATCTACGAGTTCCCCGCACTGTCCGAGGAGCTCAGTGAGTGTCGCAGCATACACACACACACATGCAGTACTACAACACACATGCTGTGCTGTACACCCACCAGAGTTATAACAGTTTTCCACTGTCAGTTTTTTTTATTTCAACTTGAATTTCCATTTAATTTTAGTCAGTTCCACCAATGGTTTCATTAGTTCCAGTTTATTTCAAGGGCTCATTTCTATTTAGTTTATTTTAGTTTCAGTTTTAGGGTAGAAATTGTCAAGGACCTGTGTGAAAAACAATCTACTAATCATAAAGATACAAACATTTAAACTTCACTAACATGAGCAATGCATTTGTTTCAGACTGGTAAAGCCTGTTAATACACAAAAGGCAAGACCACAATTTAAATGTTTGACCAGTTTAGTCCTGTCTGTGCGCTTTACCATTATCTCCACAGTGTGTGGATGACAAATGCCAGGCAAACTGAGCAGAGTATGCTGAGGTTGGTGGTGAAAACATGTAGATTTTCCCAAAAATGATCTAGTCAGACTCTTTTTAGTCCAGCCATCTACATAAAGTGTTACTTTACAAGCCTCTCTCACTATGTTTTTGACTCTCCAAGTTGTACTTTGCATTTTCAGTGTAATCGATGAATTGATGCATGCAGCCCCCGCAGTTTAGAATTTGGGATCAAGTGTAGCATTAAATTCTTTGAAAGCCTGTGTGTCACATAATCTGCCTGACATACGTTACCAGTCCCGATAAACAGACTGATGAGTGCTTTTTTCATTTTTTGCATTCACTGGAGTGGGACGTCCACTCCTCAGGTCTTTTAAAGCTGGATGTTTTTACATGTTCCTTTTGGTGGTAACTTTGATTTGATTTTGATTTGATTTGATTTAATTTGATTTGATTTGATTTGATTGATTGATTTTTTCAAGCATATAAAACAGTTGATATAACAACACCCATTTTTACACACAATCCAATATCAATTTGCTTATACCTAGTACATGCTTGAATGGAGTAGGAAGAAGTCAGACTTATCCAGTCCTACCCCATAACATCATCTTACATCATTGGTTTGCAAGCAATAAATGATTCACTTCTGCACACACACACACATTATACTAAAAAAGAATATAACAGTCTTAAATCACACAATTGATATACTAAAGAATGGTTACAAAATATAATCATTGAGCCTGTTCTTGCATATATCTTGATTGATACACACCTTTATATTTACATTTGAACTCGTCAATTCTATTACTATTTTTTAAGTCCACACTTAAATTATTCCATAGTTTTACCCCACTTATGGAAATACAAAATCTTTTTTTGGTTGTACGTATAGCATGCACTTTTAAATTTAACTGACCCCTTAAATTATATCCCCCTTCCCTTTCATTAAATAGTTTTTGAATTCCACCAGGTAATAAATTGTTCCTGGCTTTATACATAAACACTGCAGTCTTATATCCCACTAAATCAAAAAAGTCCACTCTACTGGACTCAACTGTTCTACTCTGTCTACTCCACTTCAGTCTACCAGTTCACTTGACTGTGCTTCAGACCACTTCAAGGATAAGCTCACTTTATTTTAATCTGCATTTCCCGTATCACCTTCTCTGTGGTACACATTCAGGGAACAAGAAGTTGTTACCGGGGCAAGGGTTTAGCCTCTGAAAGAGTTCAGAATAAATGTAATGTCAGTCAAATGGTTTGTCGTGCTTCTCTGAGTCAAAGATTAGGCTTGGGCTGCAGGCTGAGGCTACCTACCCAGGCCTAATCTTTGCTTTCCTTCTGACTCAGAGAAGCATGACATTACATTTATTCTGAACTCTCTCAGAAGCTAACCTTTTGTTTTCCTGAATCTCTACAATTAAAGTAATGATAGCAAAACCACTGTTAAAAGAAACAGAGCAGGTTCCAAAAAGCAACGTTATCATCACATCACCCTGCAGGAGCAGAAACAGCTCTAGTTAAGAGTTATAACTCTGTCTTGCTCTAGGTGAGTCTGGGGCAGAGCCTGCATTGACCCTTGAGCTCCCACTGGCTGCACCCTCCGGCCAATCGCAGACTGAAAAAGATGCATACAGTTAATGACATCACAGCTTCCTGTCCATTGATACACTTTGATCCAAGGAGAAGAATAAAATGTGCTGATCAATTCTGTTCTAAATCATCAATAAAAGCATTT